AGCAGTTTTCTATTTATATAGAATTGGCATCATTAACGTATTAGCAGTTTTCTATTTATATAGAATTGGCATCATTAACTTATTAGCAGTTTTCTATTTATATGGAATTGGCATCATTAACTTATTAGCAGTTTTCTATTTATATAGAATTGGCATCATTAACTTATTAGCAGTTTTCTATTTATATGGAATTGGCATCATTAACTTATTAGCAGTTTTCTATTTATATAGAATTAGCATCATCAACTTATTATCAGTTTTCTATTTATATAGAATTGGCATCATTAACTTATTAGCAGTTTTCTATTTATATGGAATTGGCATCATCAACTTATTAGCAGTTTTCTATTTATATGGAATTGCCATCATTAACTTATTAGCAGTTTTTATTTCTCACTTATATTTTACTTGCTTTTGACCAGTCCTCATTAATTGGAAAATGAAATGATATTTTCTGAACTACGTCTAAACAGAGCGTGGATATGTAAACAGACCATTAGAGATAGACCTGCTACTTTATAGGCTATCATGTGAAGCAAAACTTCTGTTACCAATAATATCTCCTCGAAACGCAATCTTTTGAACTATTTCTTATGTAATAGCGTAAGTCCTTGACTCATAGGTACCGAATAAAATCTAGCAAACATAAGTGGTATTGGAGATACAACTTATGAGTTAGCAAAAGTTGTTTTTCCTTTCCTACTATTCAATGAACACACACAAAACCAACTTAACGTTCCTTCAAACTCTGTTTTTTCTATCCTTTCTCTACCTGCTTATAAATCTTAGAATTTGTTTATTTATTTCGCTGAATCCTAAAAATGCACAAAAGACTATCTGATCTGGGTACGCTGTGGAAATCGAACCGCAAATTCCAGTTTTATAAAACTTTAAGCTTTTCGATGAACAGCCGGAAGGCCTTATAAATGTTGATAACTTTCAACAATTCACTACTTCACTTAAAGAGAACTATAACAAATTTAAATTACATGCCGAAAGTACGTAGTTGTGAAGGATTTTGAACCCCGACCTTTCCTTCTTTCTCTGCTATTTTTCTGAACATTGAATATTTCAGATTTCTTACCGATACAAAGAAGTAGTCATGATCACATGAATCTACCCTTTAACAACCATATGTCGTCAAATCAATTACTCCACCCCGTCACTAAGTTTGTGAGTTAGGCTAAACATCATGACAATTCTTTGGTCACTGTCTATGCTACAGGTTATGAAATATTAGAAAAGTAAAAAATGTTGATTAGAATATTTATTGAATTCTAATTCATTCTTATTACAAGAATTACGGTGTAAGGTTCAGTGGTATACACAAGTAGATGCACATAGTGATAATTCACAGTCAGGCAGAACAGACAAGCTAGAGAGAGAGAGAAAACACCGCAGTACATTCCCTCTGTTCAAATAGCATCGGAGTTGTAATGCATTTATACAAGTTTTATCGCACTAAACATACAATTACGAATGTATATATATGTGTGTGTGTGCTGTACAGTTGTGAAACTAAGAACATGTTAATACGTATTTATTTTTCAGTATTTACTTAGTAAGTACTACTTACCAACAACCTTAATGTAGCCCACTTGGTTCTTCATAGGAGACGTGTTGATTTGGCACATATACTGCCCTCTGTCTCTCATCCGTACGTTTTTTATACGTAGCCACCATGTACGGTGGCTATTGTGATATACCTGGTAACGAGAATTCCTGGTTATTACACGATTTGCCAGGGTTAGAAGGGTAGATCTGTCTGTGTGAATCCACGCCACCTGGTTGTAAATAGATAATAAAAACATAAAATAGCTATATTAAAATCATTAATTGTTTTAGTTCAGAGATAGTACCGTGAACACATCATTTACCAAGTATTATCTACGGATGTATTTTTCAACAGTTAAACAATAAAAGGTGCATAACCTTCTCTTAAGAAATTATCGGACCAGTCAATAAAGTCAGTACCACAGCTTCTTTAATTGCTGCAAATATCGAGAAGGAATGACACATAAGAGCATCATTCGTATTGTGTGCCTCTTGCTGCATGCACTCTTACGTTGTCTTATTTCTAAATTCATATCTGAAAGATCAAAGATATATAGTATTAAGATAACATCAGAAATGTTATGTTGCTGTCTGCAGGGTATACGTTTTAATAAAAACTGTTTTATAGATATAAAAATGTATAGTTGTGTTCAGTTTGATATTAAAACAGTAGATATGATGCACATAATCTTTAGATTTTACTGTTATCTTTTTTGTCGTAAAGCTGAAGTGATATTAGTATTAAATATTCAGATTTTTTAAATATTTTGTTATAACTGATATACTTTAAGACACTTTTGTTTGTTTGTCTCAAAGCAAAGCCACATTGGGCTTTATGCTGTGTCCACCTCATGGAATCGAACCCCGGATTTTAACGTTCTAAGTCCGTTTAAAAACGTGATATCAGTAAGTAAGTTTCTTTTTAAAGGATGTCGTATTTCTTTAACTTACACACTATCTGCTTGATGATGAGAAGCCTCATGTATTTCTAATGCCAATAAACTTGGAGCTAGTTTGGACCACAGACTACTAATAACAATGACATCTTTTCAATACCATAGTTAACTATGTGCAACAAATGTATATTAACTAAAAACATTTGAGGTTCAAATGTTAAGGTTCGAATGGCGACTATAAAGTAAAATCCATTACAAACCGTACAAAAGGTTCGAATGGCGACTAGAAAGTAAAATCCATTATGAAACACACAAAAGGTTCGAATGGCGACTAGAAAGTAAAATACATTACGAACCACACAAAAGGCTCGAATGGCGACTAGAAAGTAAAATCCATTACGAAACACACAAAAGGTTCGAATGGAAACTAGAAAGTAAAATCTATTACGAACCACCCACAAGGTTCGAATGGCGACTAGAAAGTAAAATCTATTACGAACCAAACAAAAGGTTCGAATGGCGACTAGAAAGTAAAATCCATTGCGAACCACACAAAAGGTTCGAATGGCGACTAGAAAGTAAAATCCATTACGAAACACACAAAAGGTTCGAATGGAAACTAGAAAGTAAAATCTATTACGAACCACCCACAAGGTTCGAATGGCGTTTAGAAAGTAAAATCCATTACGAACCACTCAGAAGGTTTGAATGGCGACTACGAAGTAAAATCCATTACGTACAGCACAGAAGGTTCGAATGGCGACTAGAAAGTAAAATCCATTACGAACCACACAAAAGGTTCGAATGGCGACTAGAAAGTAAAATCCATTACGAACCACACAAAAGGTTCGAATGGCGACTAGAAAGTAAAATCATTACGAACCACACAAAAGGTTCGAATGGCGACTAGAAAGTAAAATCCATTACGAACCACACAAAAGGTTCGAATGGCGACTAGAAAGTAAAATCCATTACGAACTACACAAAAGTGTCGAATGACGACTAGAAAGTAAATATATTACGAACCACACAAAAGGTTCGAATGGCGACTAGAAAGTAAAATCGGTTACGAACCACACAAAAAGTAAAATCCAATACAAACCCAATAGACATTTTAATTTACGATTTAAGAATATCATGTAAGATACATAAAACCTTTTATCTAACTGAATGTGTTTTGATAACATATTAAAAAAAAATAATCCTTTTGAAGTATCTATCAATATTTCTTTTCAGAAGATGAAGAACTCTTTATAAATTATATTTGTACTCTTTCCAGCATGTGCTACTGAAATATTTCGACCATTGTTTAATACTGACAAGAAATATTATTTAATTACAAAACATAGAACTACAATAATGATTAAAATATACTATCTTGGAAAGTTACAAGCACCTTCTGGTACGTCTCTGTTATACACATAAAAAATCATACGTACATTTTATTATTAAAATTATTGCATTATCCCCAGATGTAGGGTCATCCAGATAGAATTTGTATGCAAATCCCTATAATGCACTGCAATGTAAGCCTTACAAACATCAATAGCTGAAACAAACAACCAGTTGAAGTCAAGTTACTCACGAATAACTAAAAATGAATAATTACTGGACGCAGCATTAATAGTACTAGCGTCCTGGTCACTAAAGCCCTCCTAATCATAAACAAACCCACTGTAGTTACGTACTAAAGAAATTAATAACTACTAGACATATTTATATAAAATTTTAACATCGCTGTCCAAAATTAATCATCCATCAGTCTATACAAAGTTCTGTAAAAATAAATCATATATCTGAAACCATATCCATTACACCTGACATTAAACACAATAGCTGATTCACTACTAATGGGTTTCATGGACGGGTTGCAGCAAATAAGATGATGATCATAGCTGTGATGTGTGGCTTTTGAGTGTCGATATCAGTCACTGCTTATTAGTTGCTTCTAATTGAAGGCAGCTTAAATAATACCATAGTCAACAATAACTTGAAATAAATAACATCGTGATTGGCAAGCCCATATCGTTACATGAATTCTATTGAACAGTGTCGGAATGATTTGAACCCCACCTGAGAAACAAAACAGAAACTAAGAAATATCAATACTGTTGTTGTGATTTTAGAAGGATGGTGATCTGTTGAGGGCAGGTGTTAATAACTCGGTCCAAATGACAAGAGTGAGCCCATCCTAAATTATAATCGGCTCTCAGAGGCAAAATACGACATTTTTTCCCCTCAAGATATCTTTCGTACCAGTACCTGTATCATAACGTGAGACGCCTACATTTATGATTAAGATTATTGAACTAGAGCAAGTTATTTTGAGCTTATAGGAAGTCCTAATCGCGTTAGAAGAGCAATGCTAAATGGACGTAGTCTTGTTCTTAAGAGCATAGTGAGTGACAGTAAATACGAGAAATATATATACGAAATTAGGTAAGGTCGAGGTAACTACACATTAAATATCAACTGAAATTCCTATCAAATAATAATAAAGGGGAATACACCGCTAAAAAGATAATTTAATAACATTTCAGGGGAAAAGAAGAGATGGAGGTTTAATGACCATGGGGCGTTTTACATTTGTACTTAGTAGTTCCTAGTATATTAATCAATCAGTCAAGGTTATTAAAACTCGAGTATGAGACCTGATGTTCATGCGTTCTCCAGATGCAGTGGATTGTAGAAATACGGAAAACTGAAAATATATTGTCCAGGATAAGTGATTTTCTCCATATTCTCGCAAGCACAAACATAAATAAAACTCAACCTTCATAACAAATAAAAAATTTAAAACCTTTATTTTTCAGAACATTGTTGATTCCCATTTTAAACTCTTCCGAAATGCCATCCACCACGAGTGCAGATGAAAACTCATTAAATAAGACAATCATCATAGAAGAAAAATTAAATTGTTTTAACTGGATCCTAGCCTGCCTTTTACGAATCTTGTACCTTCTCGTCCTATGGTCAATACATTGGACTGACAGCACTTATCTTCAATAAAAAAAAAAAAATATGACACCATCATTTCATGTCCACAATAAATTTATATGTATAAATTTAAATGAAAACATGCACTCTACATGTTTCATTCGACAATATGATCCACTATCTTCAGAATATTTTTTTTCTTCTCTTTTTTCCTGTCAAATTGTGTTAGATTTTCTGGGAAAGTACAAAAAGAAAAAACAAAATAGAATTTTACCTTAACTTTAGTTTGAATGAATTCCAAACTTGGATGTTGTGTAAAGAATAAAACAACATCAACATTCGAACCTTATTATTTAGGCCTAAAAATAACTACTTTCATATGTCATATCAATGTGATTTTAGATGTTATAGTTCATCTTTAACGGATATGTTATGATTAAACGCTAATCGTCACTACAAAACACACCAATATTACAGCCCAGAGTAACATAACTACAAAAACACACCAATGTTACAGCCTATAATAACAAAACTAATCATCACTACAAAAACACACCAATGTTACAGCCAAGGGTAACACCACTAATTATCACTACAAAGTACACCAATGTTACAGCCAAGGGTAACACATTAATCATCACTACAAAAACAAACCAATGTTACAGCCAAGAGCAACATCACTACAAAACATACCAATGTTACAGCCAAAACTAACACCACTAATCATCACTACAAAACACACCAATGTTACAGCCTATAGTAACACCACTAATCATCACTACAAAAACGTACCAATGTTAAAGCCTAGAGTAACATCACTACAAAAACACAACAATGTTACAGCTAAGAGTAACACCACTAATTATCACTACAAAGAATACCAATTTTACAGCCAAGAGTAATATCTCTAATCGTCACTACAAAACAAACTAATGGTACAGCCTTCAGTAACGCCACTAATCATCACTACAAAAACACACCAATGTTACAGCCTATACTGACACCACTAATCATCACTACAAAATACACCAATGTTACAGCCTAGAGTAACATCACTACAAAACACACCAATGTTACAGCCTAGAGTAACATCACTACAAAACACACCAATGTTACAGCCTAAAGTAACACCACTAATCATCACTACAAAAACAAACCAATGTTACAGCCAAGAGTAACATCACTAATCATCACTACAAAAAACACCAATGTTACAGCCTAGAGTAACACCACTAATCATCACTACAAAAACACACCACTATTACAGCTTATAATAACACCACTAATCATCACTACAAAAACACACCAATGTTACAGCCTAGAGTAACATCACTACAAAAACACACCAATATTACAGCCAAGAGTAACACCACTAATTATCACTACAAAGTACACCAATGTTACAGCCAAAAGTAATATCGCTA